AGTTGAGAACTCTTTAAATAAGCCTAGTCATATAGGAACACCCTTCTAGAGTGACAGTCAGTCCACATCTACACCCTTACCTGAATAAAGATGATTTTATGTTATAAGAGGAATGTGTATTTGCATTTTGTACGTTTCTGCGATGTGTTCCTAGGATTTATCTTAGTCTTTCTTTTGGACAATATTGCTAGTCGAAAATTTTCTAGGGACGTGGTGGGGAAATGTATTGACCTTCGGTGTACATATAAACTTTTTACACCACTGACTTTTAGGTACCTGGGGGCCAATCGCCTAATGGGATTGCTATGGCTATTGCTATCGGTTACGATTTCCTTCGGTTTTATATGACCGACTAACGTTTGCAAAAACCCCACGCTCATTTTCTTTAATAATATTATTACCCAATGCAAAAGAAATGAGAGCGCGAGGAATTTGAAACTAAATAATAAAATAAAATCGTAAACGATAGCAATCCCGTTAGGTTAGGTTATAATATAGTTTCTGTTCAGTCGTATACGTTCTTCCGACACATTCCTGATGTAAGGGATATGCTTAACTACTTTCTTTTCCTTTTCCATCATTTACCATTACAACTTGTATAAATACTTGTGATATCAGTATCTTGTCCTTGACATTTAACAGTATCATATCACAGCTAAGTGATTGGCGAGGATTGGAATATTTCACAAAGCTATGATTTGCAAATTTATTTTGTCAAGACGAAAGGAAACGACTGCGATTGGAAAAAAACACAACTTTTGAAAAACTTTTTTATTGATTTCTTTTTCAATGTTTATAAAACGTTTAAATAAGTTTAAATTCACGTCAAAACTTACCTTGTCGTCATATTGGCTGACCGAAAGTCACATCCCGCGTTGTTGATGTTCGTCATGGAAATAAAATTACGATATTAAAAACAAAAACAAAATGATTAATCAAATTCATTCAAATTAAGCATGGGTGAGTGTGCATCAATATATAATTTATGGGGATGAGAAATAAAAATAAAAATTTATCTAGAGTTGCCAGCTCCTGTTTAAGACTGAAAGCCATTTGCAAGAGCATTATTAAAATTAAATTAAGGCTTGATGCTGTTTAAATTAAATAATTAATTAATTTTGAAGTAATTATAGATTAATTAAAATGTTTTAATGACATCTTAATGTGGTATAAGAGGATAATAAATCCTATTGATATTTCAATGAAGTCATCAGGCATATTTTTTCACACATAAATGCATGATAATATTTGAGGTACAATAATGGGGAGAGTAGTATGGAGAAAATAAATAAATATTTCCAACGCTCACACCAATTACTAGCCCCAAAATAAGCACTGCAAGGCTTGTTATGGGATACTAGGGTAACGGATGTAATACATATAATGATACAAACATAAGTATACTTTATAGAAATACATATTAAACATCGCATGACTGGAGTACAAATGCTCGTATTCATCACACAAACATCTGCCCCCACCGGGTTCGAACCCGGGCACCTCGAGTAGGCGACACCTTGGAACCATATAAACCATTCGGCCACGGAGGTCATCAAAAAGAAAAGAAAGGATCCTTTTAATTAAAAGTTACCAGAGGACTAGACAGATAAGGCATAGGATAAAATTGAGAAAAATTATATAAATCACAGCAAACAAAAACAATCACAGTAAAAAATCTAAACGCGCCTCCCTGTAAGGAGTCTATGTGAATCTATCTATACGTAGGGCTGAAAGAAAGTCCGGCAACCCTAAATATATCCAACTACTAAAAAAAATATACCAATTTCGAAGTGTCCGTGATGCTAGCGTACACACGACCAATATACGGTTTTTCGTTATGCCAATAAATACTGCGTGAATAGTGTTAGTGTAAAAATATAAAAAATAGTGCCTCTTTAATTTAAGAAATAAAGACCATTTTTACTGTGTACGCTAGCATGACGTCAAGCTAGCGTACCTATAGTTCTCATAGAAAATAAACTTTTCTCGTTATCAATGCTATATGTATAAATAGTGTGTCAAATAGTACATCTAACAGTAAAAGTATTTTATGTGGATTCGCAGTAAAACAATATAAAAAAAGCAATTAAATTGTTTTCAGATATGAAGTACAGTCATTAACAGAATCTTTAGTTCAATATCCTTGGTCCTTTAAGAGTATTGATTTTGAAATTTTGTGAAGCCAGGACACTATTTTCTAACTATTTTTGTGTGTCAATTTCGTTTGATACGCTAGCTTGACGTCATGCTAGCGTACACTGTAAAAATGGTCTTTATTTCTTAAATTAAAGAGGCAATGGTGCCAATTCTGGCTTGATTCTCTAAACTTAAAACTAAATTTAACATCAGTCTCTCCTTTTCATTCTGTATAGAGAATCACAAGGATATACTGGTGTCGATTCTGGCGTGATTCTCTAAACTTAAAACTAAATTTAACATCAGTCTCTCCTTTTCATTCTGTATAGAGAATGACAAGGAGATACTGCTGTCAAATTTAAGTTTAGGTTTAGAGAATCATGCTAGAATCGACACCACTATTTACCTATTATTACACTAATTTGACACTATTTACGCAGTATTTATTGGCATAACGAAAAACCGTATATTGATCGTGTGTGTACGCTAGCATCACGGACACAATTTAGACAGCTGATCTGACAAATCAGCAAATACAAACTTGTCTGAATTAGGTATTTTAAAAATATTTACAGAAGTCCTGAACCTCTCTGTATTGAATATAATATTAGATCCTAGTAATCGGCTCTTGCTTCGCTGATATGTACATCTTTGCATACATACAAATAATCACTATCTTTTTTTTTCAACAACCTCTTCATTCACTATCTAATGCTGAAAACTGCATTAAAATCCGTTGTGTAGTTTATGACATCTTAGCAGACAGCTGGAGCGAATTTGTTTCAATGATAAGATACCTTGTTTCCCGAAAAAAAAAATTGAGATCACTAATCGTTTAATAATAATAAGATATTTGACAAGTTTTTGAAAACGTTCATTCATACGTTGTTTATGTTAGTGACTGCATAAAAAGTGGAGATTTATTTATTCTGTTGCGTATATCAGTATAAAAATCTGTTTTCAAATATGCCGCGGAAACGTTTTTCTAACCAATATAATATCTTTAAAACATGGCTGCCATCAAAGAAAACAATATAATGTTACGCACATCAGTAATGTTCGGTCACATGACAATAAATCAAATTACATTATTTTATAATTTTAAGGGTTCCGTAGTCCTGAGAAGGAACCCTTTTAGTTTCGTCATGTCCGTCTACGGTTTCGCTTGGAGTTTGTTAGCACTAGAGAGCTGTAATTTTTAAAAAATATTTGTTTAAGGATCTTTCCTACATGTAACCTGGGGATGTTTTTTTCATCATCTACCCAATCGTGTGGGACATCGTTGAATAGATTCTTTAAAATTACTTTGGGGTTCCTTAAACTATTTTTAGCTTTAGGGATTTCTTTGCGAAATATTGACTTTTAAAGTGCTTTTTTGTTTGAGTAGCCACCCTCTTAAAGCTAAACTAGCAAAAATTAGCTTGAAAAACCTAGAAAATTTTATGATAATAGTGCTTTTCATGAATTATTAAGGAAAATATAACGGCTAAGATATATTTCTTAGTTTAGAGTAAGTCGTTCAACACTACTTAAAGAAAATTTCTTACCTATTGAAAATTCTTTAGAAGAAAACAGTAATAGTGTCATAGATGAAGTTATTGTAGCGTAAAACCTTACATTGCAACAAAATCTTAAAAAAAAACTATTTGAAAACCACAATAAAATATTATTAGGTAGTTCCACAACGCTACCGCGAGTACCAAAAAACGGCAACGGCTTCAGTCGCGCTAACGTTACGTTTTTATAAAAAGTTTATAAGCACATGAAAAGATCGGCGGTTATACCACAGCATCCCCTTAGAATGGGATGATCGCTTCACATGAAGCTTTTAGTCAGTAAGAGTCTGACATAACCTTGCAGCCGACTGTAGGGTATCGATGAGGATTTCACATCCGTTTCCCAGCCTGGGAGGAAATGAAAAAAATCTTAATTGATTTTGAGACGCAGTTTGACTTTGATTTTGGCATTTTATTTGAAATACATAGGTAGATTAATGTTAATTGGTTTTTCTAATTTCCGATACCTATAGAAAATAAAAGACTCCTGCTCATATTATATTGTGGTAAGTACAGGCAACTAAGGAACCCTACACTGCGCGTGGCACGACACGCACTTGGCCGGTTTTTAGTAAAGTACCTATTGTTTTTTGTCATAACAGTGAAATCGCTCCCAATATTATGTTAAATAATACTTGCCAATAATTGGTAGGTACTTCAATAGTGTCCAGGAAATATTCAAAAAAATCACCATTGCTGTTCAATGTGGGCGCTAAAAATAATAAACGTAGTTCTATCCAAACTTCGTACACTGCGCAAGCGTCAGATAACAGAAAAATCAATAATCATACCCCTACTACTTACGCTCACCGACAAAACGTAGCTAATGAATACGTGTTTTTGTTAAGTACCTACTTAGGTAAACATTTTTTGTTCCTGGGTCATCAATTTTCATAGTACCTACCATTAATTGGGTGCACTTGCAGGAACAATGGAAACAGGTTGGTTTTAATTTGTAACGAAAGCATACAGATATTCGATTTTATTAATATCGATTCAAAACAATACCTATAAATCTATATCTGTAATAAAATGATAAAGCTCTCTAGACCTGTGAAAGTTAATGGTTACCTACCGACACCGCGTTATTCTTATAAACAGTTAGGAACTGTTGACCTCCTTTGAATTATAACGGTTTACAATTGTAGTTTCATCATTAATCTCAAAGTTACGGTACCTACATATATGTATATACCTACACTTACCAAAACACTTCTGTACAGGTTTATGGAATATGCTTACAAAATTACAAATTGCTTACTTACTGAAACCATAATCTATTCTAACTGGCTAACTGCCTAGCTAGCTAGAGTTGTTTTTTTTTAGATTAGAGATCATAGTATCAGGTAAATAACTAAACCACTCACTATAAATATAGCACTTAATATTTTATTTTCTTTAATATTACCATTATGACAAAATAAAATGTCAGCTTGTTGGGAAACAACCCATCAATATGCACGTCACTGTGCAAGGCTGACAAAAAAAAATAAAAAAGGTAAATATGTACAGATCTAAAGAAACAACCCTACTGATTTTGTATTTAAATTTATTTTACATTAGCTTTATCCTATAAGTCAATAATTTTATACTAAACCTAATAATCATTCAATTAACAGCTATTTGAGAACTTACTAAGAAAATACTGAGTGAAGTTTAGAAAGGAAAATGTCAACATCTAATCAATTCTGATTTTGTTCACCTAGCGTTTAATTATGAGGAATTCTTACAAAGATTAATCCTAAATTGTACTTAATTAGTTGTAGAGACGTAACTAAATTTCATTTTACATCAACTATAATCCTTAAAAGTATGTCACGATAAGTACCTAAGTACTACAATAAATAGAGACGAACATACAAAATCAGTACACATTGAAATATATCTATTCATATTAATTGTCTAAGATAACGAGTTAACGGTCCAGCTACATTGTGTCTATTGGTATCCTGACGGCTTCTCCTAGGTGGTCTCGCGTGTGGACCATGAGGTGTGTAACTAGTGCTCCGGAGCGTACTGCCTACACTAGCACGGTTAACTCTGCTTTACTAGTGTACTTAGCACGAAACCTAGAGATTGAAAAAACCTTTAATGAGTCACGTACAAATATAAATACTAAACAGAGAGGTTACCACCATAGCATTAATCACAGTACTCTAACAGATAGAAACTATCCTCCACTAAACAGACTATGTTCCTAAATATCAATTAATGCTATGTAGTGTTTCAGTTAATTTTATAACTAATCAGATAATCCTAATTTTGTTGAGAGGATATGTTAATTGAATGGTTTCCTTGTTAATGGTAATGGGTGACAAGTGAGTGAAAAGTAGAGAAAAGTCATACTCACATTAATCTAAAAACGTCCTCCTCGTCCCCCTTGGCCCCCTCCGTAGTTGCCGCCACCATAGCCGCCGCCGCCACCGCCACCACCACCACCCTGGTTCATACTGTAAGGTGTGGAACGGTTGTTGCTGTACTGTTGGTTCCTAGTAGGCCCACCGCTATAGCTCTGTTGACCATAGTTGCCAAAGTCTTGGTTTCCCCAACCCCCCCGACCATTACCACCGCCGCCGTAACCACCGCCCCCCTGGTTACCACCCCATCCCCCTTGATTGTTGTCCCAAGGACTGGAATTGTTCCAACCCCCCTGGTTGTTTCCATAACCACCTGTAAAAGGAGAAGGCGAATTTATAAAAAATCTGCTATGTTGATAAAATAAAATATAATTTATAAACAAAACTCACCAGAATTTCCCCAATTATCATTTCTGCCTTGGCCACCTCCCCTTCCTCCTCTCTGATCAGAGCCATCTTTAGGGAGAGCTTTTTTAACATCTAATTGTTTTCCATTTATTTTATGAGGAACATTCACTGAAAGGAAGTAAAATAGGTTAGAAAACTACAAATTTAGATTTTAAAGAATAAATGCAAAGTAGCTTATGAAAGAAAATGTCTATTGACTTGCGTACCAAAATCTTGCATTTAATAACAAGGAAGGTATAGCTATGTCAACAATATTACTATCCACAGTCAAGAGAAGCCAAAAGTGGACACATAACTTCCATTCTGGGGCAAAACTGTGGTGAAAAAAACAACTATACAAAATACTCACAACAAACTTTGTCAACTGGATCATAGTCATCAAACTCAACAAAACCAAATCCTCTTTTCTTTCCTGTAGCTTTGTCTGTTACTATGCTGACATTCTGTACAGTTCCGTAGCTCGAGAAATACTCGCGCAGTTGATCTTCATCATGATCGTCTTTGATACCTCCAATGAACAGTTTTTTTACTGTTGCACCTGCCTCAGGGTTCTTTATATCTTGCCTGGCAACTGCTCTCTTTGTTTCGACGACACTAAAATATAAGATAATAACGTGAATGTAAATAGGTATTAAAAGGCAAAAACGCTCAACTTATATACCATAAAATTCGTTACAATTACGTGTCAAAGTACCTAATACAGAATAATTAAATCACATAATGACAAATATGTAGACTCCACCGAAAATGCCACGTGCATTGAATTCATGAGACATTCACCAAGCAGTGTCTTTGATATTTGCAGTATAAAACGATAAGAAAGCTAGAAAATGGCTTTCATATAGCTGGACTGCAGTAAAACTATTATTAAATGTTCAACGTACCGTCCATCGATGCGGTGGGGCCTATTATTTTGCGCATCATCCACCATGTGCGCCTTGGAATACGTAATGAACCCGAACCCACGGGATCTCTTGGTCTTGGGATCCTTCATAACCACGACATCTACGATTTCGCCCCATTTTTCAAAGTGCGACTTCAGTGATTCGTCCGTGGTACGGTAGTTTAGACCACCAATAAAGATTTTACGATGAACTTCGGGCTCATCCTGAAAGTAGGACGCTATGTTCAACAAAATGGCGGTTGGCGTGGTGATTTTCCGTACAATTTATTACGATAAAGCAACTAGGAAAGTAGCTCTATTACAGATCAAGAAAAATGTGGAAATTAATAGTAGAGAAATATTTTTTCCTTTTAATTAAAACGGTTCAATGAATAAATGGGAAAGATGACTCACCGAGAAAAATAGCACACACAAAAGTACTAAATAAAGCAGTAAATAAGTAAGTACTTACAAAGCCATCATCACCATTCTGCTGCGGTCTCATTTTAACACTGTATAAATTATTAAGTTGTTTGAAAAATACTCTTTTTTGACGTTATTGACAATTTACGATAAACACGACCTTACTTGTCCGACGCCACGCCAAAAAGAACGACGCAAAGCGGATCTGATCTCGTTCAATCAATAAGCCGCGACGCCAACGGTTCAACGTGGCAGCACTGCAGTGTTACCAGAAAGACATTTCGTCTTCCCCTAAAGTTGTAAGGTCGGTTTAAAACGAATCAAACCATGCCGTTTAAAACCAAAGGACGACGAAATCGACCCCAGCATGCCAAAAAGAATGTTTAACTTATTAGCAATTAATCATAGTAGTCGGACAATCTGTTTAAAAAATAAAAGTTCTGTTACTAGATAATACAGTCTGTTCATCCTAACTTGTCCAATTTGGTAACAATCTTGGCACTCCTTTTTTATGAAAATACAGCATTAATAATCAACTGATAACTGGATTCAAAAAGGCAAAAGAACAAAAGGTAGACCTATTACACAATGGGAAGACGACATTAAAGCGATTGCTGGTCCAAACTGGAGAAAAGTAGCTGAAGACAGAGACAAATGGGCGTCACTGGAGGAGGCCTTCACCCAACTTGGGGTTCCAGTAGATTAAATTTAAAATACATTTATAAAAAATAATATAGAAAGTGTATCCTACACATAGAAATAAGTAAAGAAAGAAGAAATTATACTAACATAGATTAACCTACATGAACTAACACTAAAATAGATTGTAAGAAGTGTAAACTTTAAGTACTGGAAATAAAAAGGCTTTTTTATTTTTATTTTATTTTATTTAACTGGATTCAATAGGTTTCAGTCTATAATAACTTATTTTAATAGTTAATTGGCTTAGTTAATATTTTATTTTTAAATGGGTGATTTTGTAAAAAAGTTGTACCAAGATTGTTTACCTTAATGAATGCAATATAGGCGACCTTAAGTCCAAGAAAAAAGTAAAGACAGAACAATGTGCGTTCTTATATGACGCAAGTAATAGGAAGCCGATTCAGTGATAGGAAGCCGGCAAGCCGGCCGTTCGGCAGTCTGCTGCGAGCAAAGGAGAGTAGGAATGTCGAAAGTGACAAAAAATATCGATATATAGGACAATGTTCCTAAAAACTTGGGGTTCTAAAAATATATACCTAAATACATTTTTTGAGCCTAGCACAGTAATAACAAAACAAATTATAAAGAAAGAACTATCAAAATCAAAGTACCAAATTGCTGCACTACATGGGCCTATGCCTTTGAATTGACTTCTCGCACTTGACAGTAGAGTATTTCATGAAAGATGACACGCGGAATAATAATGGAATGAAAATTATCTCCCTAAAAACAGACCCTATTTTCGAATGATGAAAGTAATTTTGGGGCTTTTCAGGTGCCATCTTTCGTGAACGAGACTAGACAGTCACACATTACCACAGAATAGATTAATGGAATTCAACATAACCAACTCACCAGCAAAACAGACTTACAAATCATAGAAAATACTTATTACCGTACAGATCATAGATATGTTGAATATCATTAATCAGAGATCCAGATAAGATTTTTTTTCAACCTTAAAAGACATTTAGCGTCGTATTGCAAAATGACAACTAAGTTTTGATCTTTACTTGAGTACAGTTAGAAAGGGATGTCACTATGTGCTATATATAGCGACATCCCTTTCTAACTATGCTCAAAACTAGATCAATCACTGAGAATCGTTCTATAATACGGGCCTAAATACTAGCCAATTTAGTTAGATCGTGAAGTGGCACTAATAATTCTTTAAATAATTTCGATTTTGATACTGTAGCGTGTCGATATATATATATATATATATATATATATATATATATATATATATCGTAATAAATGAATAATAGTTTCTACGTTTTCATTAAAAAAAAAATGTAAATGTGTATAAAAATATTTTGTTTACTCAAGTACAGAATTATTTATTTTATATTAGATAATTCGTACGTACACCGCGAGAACAATATTGTGGCATCGGCGGTAGAACTAAAAACTTCGGGCGGCGACATCATTCGCCGTCGCTGCGTCTCGACAATCACACAGAGCTTTGTAATCGGTAAGGAAGAATTTTATATATTAGATTTACGTGATTTCAAATGTTAATTTTTGTTTGTACGTTGTTCTTGTTAGACACTCAAATGTTCGCCTTCTGTTGATAACGTATATTCTAAGCAGAATAACAAAATAAATTTTATTAATGTTTTGAAACAAAACCTCGGTGTCACAGAGTCAGCGTGGCAAGCTAGCAAAAGTTTTATTCTCCCCAAAATAGGGTGCTGTGGTATCCGTATGAGGTCGAATAGTTTAAATAAAAGAGAAATGTGATTATAATATTAGTAATTACTAGAGATGGGTCAAGGGCACAAAAGGGCATAAACTGGGCAAATAGGGAAAAAAACGTTTTTATGTCCAAATAAATGTCCAGTCGCTGGGCAAAAACTCAAAAGATAAAAATACCGTCACAAAAATGATTTTTAAATCTAATATCCTCGGTAAAGCTAAAAATCTATCGGTCCACCTTGTAGGGGGTCTGCCCACTGAGCGCCGTCCGGTGCGTGGTCGCCATTCCAGCACCTTTCCGCCCCAACGGCCATCGGTTCTTCTTGCTACGTGTCCCGCCCACGACCACTTCAGAAAACTTTTTTAAGTGGGCTTTGGACTTATAATGCGATTCAAATAAGAATAGAAAAGCCAATGACCTCTCTCTGTGAAATGTCGCTTGAAAAATACGGTTTGCAAAAAAAAATTGGAACCCTTTTTTAGCACTCCACTAATTCAAGAATAAAAACCAAACATTTGTAAACAAACAATAACAAATATTGATAATTAATATCGGTTGATATTTTTTTTCATTGAGCTTTGGCCATGAATGGTTGATAACATAAATCGTCAACCAAATGTCACTTTAAGTTGCGTTCAGAAACTCGATTTCAAACTTTCGTTTACATTAAGGATGCATGTTCGTTTGTGACCTAGTAATAGTGCATGATTATTCATAACTACTCCGGCGGTAATGCAGAGATGAGCGGAATAGAAGAGCTAGATTCTGATTAATGTTTTTTCTCAGTCTTAATAAATAAATATTATTAAAAATCGGTGTTTTTTTTTTCAATCTTAAAAATAAATGTTATTAAAATATCTGATACTTTTTCTCACTTAATCCTAGTAAATAAGTTTTATTAAATAAAAACTTTTTTTTTGCTCACTCTACCTATTTGGTTTGAATTGACTGCTATGACATCACAATATGGCGCCCAGTCGGTCCTATTCTTAGTTGAATCGCATTATAGGGGTTCGAATCGAGCTCACTGAATGAACACAGTTCATTAGACCCGAATCTGGCATGTGTTTCTCTAAGCTTAATAAAATAAAATTTGACAACAGTCTATCATAGTCATGCTCTATACAGAATAAGAAAGAGAGAAACTTGATTTTGACGGTTGATCGCGACTTTTTACAGTTTAAAAGTTTATGGTGGTTTTATTTTTACATAAAAAATGTAATAAAGAAAAACCCCCGTTTCTCCCCAAACCCAAATTTCTTCCCCCCATCAATTCCCCCAAAAAAATTTTTCCCCTCTAATATCCCCCCCATCACTTTAAAAACCCCCCAAATTTAGGGGGAATCCCCCCAATCTGGCATTAGTGCAGCACTGACAGGACCATGCCCCGACGGAAGGACTCTGTATCCAGGTCAGGAATAAATTCAAAAAAAAAGACAGAACCATGACAGGACAGCCAGAGTGCACTCAGATTCAGATTCAGATTTCGAAAACAAGCGCGAGAAATAAACAGTGTCGTCGAAGGGTACGGCCAGATTGCACTCCTGATTCAGATTCAGATTCAGACTCAGAAAGCAAAGCGTGAGAAAAAGCAGGCAACCTGCTTAGACTACACTGTTTATTTCTCGCGCTTGTTTTCAGAATCTGAATCTGAATCTGAATCTGAGTGCACTCTGGCCGCACCCATCGCAAAGGGTGCGGCCAGAGTGCACTCAGATTCAGATTCAGATTCAGATTTCGAAAACAAGCGCGAGAAATAAACAGTGTAGTCGAAGGGTACGGCCAGATTGCACTCCTGATTTAGATTCAGATTCAGACTCAGAAAACAAAGCGCGAGAAAAAGCAGGCAACCTGCTTAGACTACACTGTTTATTTCTCGCGCTTGTTTTCAGAATCTGAATCTGACTCTGAATCTGAGTGCACTCTGGCCGCACCCAAAGACTTTGGTCTATTTTTTTTTTAATTTATTGGCAATGGATACATGGTCCTAGTCTATCGGAATTAGTGTTGCCAGGTGTCTCATTTTGCGCGGTAAGTCCCGATTTTCAGGGGTCTGGTTACGCGACCTGATCGGGACGCTAAATGTCCCGATTAAACGAAAAAGAAATTTAGTTAATTAATATGATAATAACTTGCATTAGTAGTTTTTTGTTTACTGTTCCGATCTGCTACCCTAAATCCCGATTTTTAGACCACGTGTACCGATTTAAAACAAATCGGACATGGCAACACTAACTAGGGAAGGCAATGGGAAAAATGCCCATACAGTGTAGTCTTTAGATATATTAGTCTACTTTTATTTGTACATTAGAATGTCGGTGTGACATTTTCTAATGTTTCTTGGAGTGTTTGGCACGAACTGTATCGAGTGTGTGGTGTTTTTTTTTAACACTTACCGCCTTATTAATAAACGAGGAATAAGCTTAGACTAGTTACTCCGTGTTTTGTTCATATCACTCAAATGCCATTTGTCATTCAATGAACAGAGACAAAATATGGAGTAACTAGTCTAAGCTTAATCTTCGTTTATTAATAAGGAGGTTAGCGCTTGTGCATGATTTTCAGATTAGTAAAAAATAATACATGGGCTTGGATAAATATTTATTTTGTGGAATTTTATGGTACAAAACAAGTGTGCTCATCTCATATCAAAGGCTGAACTATTGAATCATAACAGCGGAACGATTAACAATATCTACGTTACACGGCATTTTTTTATTATAAAAGATGAAAAATTTGTTTTGTTTATGTATTTGTTGTTATTTTTTTGCAATGACAACATTTCAAGCCAAAATTGACAACTTTTGCCGTGCAGGCTCTGGCAACACTGTGGTTTCCTTTCTTGTCTTGCCCATCTGTGGATTCTATAAAAATATTTGTTGGCATTGCCGCTTTTTATTTATTTCAATAGTTTCCTTCAAAAATCCTGAATACTATAGCAAATTAGATCTCGATTTAAATAATCCCTAGCTTTTAACATATCCCTGTTTTTAACTTGTGTATAGTTTTAATAAAATAATAATCCTAAGTGATCGAAATGAAGCCGAGTGGTGGTGGTGATGATTATGTGAGTAGTAAAATGTAGGACTATTACAAATAAATTAAATCAAATTATAGGTACATAACATTAAAAACATTGTCAAAACACATTTAAACATAAAGCATAAAAAGTTTTATAATTTTAATGTAATTTGTTACACTTACTATTTAGAACAGTTGAAGGTTTAATGACATTCATAACCCTACTAATTATTTGTCGTAATTTATTGTTTCAGGAAGAACCTGAGCATTTGCGGAAAATATTCATTGGCGGATTGGACTACAGAACTAATGATACATCTTTAAAGGAATTCTATGAGCAATGGGGAGAAATTGTGGATGTTGTTGTGATGAAAGATCCTCAAACCAAAAGATCAAGAGGTTTTGGTTTTATTACTTATTCTAAAGCTCATATGGTTGATGATGCTCAAAATAACAGGCCCCATAAAATAGATGGAAGGTATAAGCAAACGTTTTTTAGTGCTATAACTCATTAACTTTTAGAATGCATATTTCACTACTTGGTTAATTGTATTTCAATTTGAGGTTTTGGAATTTAAAAGATATGCTTATCTATTTCAGAGTGGTTGAGCCTAAAAGAGCAGTACCAAGGGAAGAAATCAATAGACCAGATGCCAGTGCTACTGTGAAAAAGCTGTTTGTTGGAGGATTGAAACAAGATATTGAAGAAGAAGACTTAAAAGAGTACTTCAGCTCATACGGCAATATTGTTTCTGTTAGTCTAGTAACTGAAAAGGATACAGGCAAAAAAAGAGGATTTGGTTTTGTGGAGTTTGATGATTATGATCCTGTCGATAGGATTTGCTGTAAGTAAAATAAATATATATTGATGTATCAAACTTGTAAAAATGCACAAATAACTTTTTACCCAAACAAAGCTAGTTGACACTTCACTTTTCAGACAGTTCTAAAATTAGTGTCCGACCGAAACTGGTTTTTCGGCTGAAACCGAACATTCGGCCTTGGCTTCAGTTTCGGCCGAAACCGAAACCGAAACTCACGTGGTCAAGTTTAAAATTCCTTAAAATACTGAAATTTGGTCCAATTTACCGATTATTCTGCATTAATTAGGGCATGAAATGGAAACACAGTATTTTAATTTTGTTCTTATCAGTTATTTAATATCATATAAAAAAATATTAAAAAAAAAAATACAAATAAAGTTCTCATAGCAAAAGGAGATTGCTCAGCTTACATACATGTTTGGCCTAAAGACCAATTTTATTTATTTATTTATTAATCATGAAAAATTGTTTCCTAGATTCGAAATTATATATAAATTACTTTAAAAACTAATATTATTGACGGACACCCCTGAGAACTTCTATAAACCATATACACTGAACATATTAAAATAATGAAAAACAAATAAGTTATATAGTAAACTAGGGAAATCAAGCCAAGTACCGAAATTATGGATTAGATTCAGGTATATAGAGCACATGCTCTAAGATTAACAGATAGTTGCCTGTTTTTAAAGTTAATGCATAAGAGTAACTTTTAAAATCAGGTGTCAATATGCATTTCCGGTTATAAGGTACTCTGTGACAGAAACTGTGATGATTGTGAATGAGCCACAGATTAGAGAGAATTTTTCAACTCTCGTTAACTAAAGAAAGCTAAGAGGTTTAGCTTATATAGCCATATATTCAGTAGCTTCATTTTTTTGTGATTGTGTGTGTGATTTTTAGTGTATCACACCTTATAATTTTATTTATTTATAGTCAGGCAACGTAGGCTCATAAATATATACCTTAAAGTCTAAACAGATTATAATGTGTTTATGGAGGTGTTTGGCGAAAAATGTATGGCAATAGACTTTAGGATGTCGCCTACCATCTATAATAATTGTCTGAGCACATTTGCATGTAGTGAAAATGATAATATAGTTGTGGATATTAATACCACAGTGTAATTAAAAAAATATTGATTTTATCGATCTTTACAAAATAGATTTGTTTTTATGTTATATAAACAACTTCGATCAGTCTTTGACTGAATGTTACTACACCCATAGCCATTAAAAATGATTCATATGTTTTCCAAACCGGTAAAATGAAAAGTCCTTTTTAAAGTGAATATATTATACAAAGGTGTCCGTTGAAATCTAATGACTGTAAATTAAATTACAAATTACGCCAAGAATTACCGTGTATGTCAATATTTTTTGTGCATTTGGGCCAATTTGAGCAATCTCCTTTTTATCAGCTTTATCAATAATCAAATCACTAATTTTTACTGTTTCATTAAATACTAAGTATTGGTATTTTTAAAATCTTATTAATACCTTGGTTTGTATTTGTACTTAGAAGAATCATAAATCTCTTAGAAGTTCCATCATAACATAACCTCTAAAGAATGTTTGCATCGGGCGATAGCGCACTAAGTTGTGTGTGCTACGGAGCTATCCGAACGGCGCACGAGAATTCCCGATCAGGGCCGCCAGCGTCCGCCAATGCGTTGCCGCGAGAAACGAAGTTAAGCGAGCCTGCACGACAACTTCCGTAATCAGTTTCGGTTTCGGCAAAAGTTTCGGCCAATTTTGGCCGAAACCGAAACTGCCGCCGAAACTTGATTTTTGGCCGAAACCGAAACCGAAACCGAACCTTCGGTCGGACACTATCTAAAATAGAAAAATATTTTACATGTAAATAAATACTAGAAACTTTCAATTTTAAATAGATTTTTACATTGGAGAACAATATTACTGTTGGCCATGGACTCTTATAGAGTGGCTGTATATTATATCAGTTGTATAAAATCTTTGTATGAATGAGAAATAACAACAAAGGGAAATATAGTTAGACATCTGATATGATAATCAATACACACCTTCAATCCACTGTCAACTCATAATAACAACACAACTTTAACATTTCTCAACTAAATATGTCAATTTCATACTATGACATATATTAATACATTGGAAAATATCAACTTCTCATTAATATGATCATTATGCCCATGTTGTCGTTTACTATGCTATTATGCGCAAAAGACTAACATCACTGATCTGCAGAGTTAGGGGTAGCTCTAACAGCAACTTGGTGGTCATAGCAGGCAAATTGGAGAGTCCATTGTGGAGACATTGGGTACAATCTCATGTCTCCACATATATTAAATTTCGAAAATAGTTTAAATATAATTGTATTATCATAGTTTCTAAGTTTTAATGTTACTAACTATACAGTCTGAAATAAATGAGTATTATTATTATTTTCCTGCAGTACAACAGAATCATAAGGTGAAAGGCAACCGGCTGGATGTTAAGAAAGCTTTGTCTAAGTCTGAGATGGGTGGCGGTGGCGGTGGCGGCCGTCGCGGCGGTCGCGGTGGTGGCGGCGGTGGCGGCGGCGGCGGTGGCGGTGGCGGTGGCGGTGGTGGTTGGGGCCGCCAGAATCAACAAGACTGGGGTAATAATGGTAAGTGTGGAGGTGTTAGGTTAAAAATATTGAAAGTCCTAGCTAAACTGTTACTTAAATTTTATTAAAAAATGCTTAAAATTTTGTCATACGTCACTTAAAGATTTTCGCTATTTTTTCTTTAATAAAACAACAAATAATAATTATGTAGAATGTTTTCTAAATTGAGGTCAATTTTGTAATTTGTGATCCATCTTTGCCAGTATTGAAATTTTAATATGTGGAAAACGAAATGAATACACACAAACACACACATATATAAGGGCACTAAATCCGTCATTTAGTGCCATCATTAAAAAACATACATTACATAATATGTATCCACAGCTGGAGTGTAAAGGTTTTCGACTGGTTCCCTTTCTGACACGTTCTATGTGAACACTGAGGAATTGGGAAAACCAGACTTGAAGGTTGGCAACACATTTAGATTTGTATTTTACAGCGGAAAGTCGCTCCATAGTTATGGGAGCTAGCAGATTTCACCTTCTTTTTCTGTTTTGTAATACCTATTTTGACTGCAAAGTTACGCTTGAAACCTAATAAGGTTTTTAGAGAAAAAAAAAGTTTATAACTTACAGCTGTATCTGCTATGTGGCCCTTTTTTTTTATAACGCAGGTAAATAATGCTATATACAGACGACGGCGCCTTTAAGAGGTACACCGCCGAACGGACCTCACATCTGGCTTCCGCAAGTCTTACGGGCGCTCCAGTGGCTGTCCACCGAGGACCCCGCTACTCTTACGGGCGCTTTACGACATAATATCCGCTAAAAAAGTCTTGCGAATATCCTCTAAGCTGCTTAGCGCGAAGCCGCGGGATCCCCGTTTAGGGATTCTTCCCTGCCGGGGCTCCACGGCAGGGGTCTCCCGGGGTATCACGGGGAACCCGCAGACGTGCGCAGGTAGGCCCGCGCGTGGGGGTTGAGTACGCGGCCTAATGCCCACCGTACCGCCCCCCGTCCGCTGCGGAGGGCTACTTGGGCGTGTCCGTGTAGCTCCCTCCGCCGCCCCCCTATTTGCAGGACAGAACTACAAGGGTGGGCTGATCTGCTATGTGGCCCTGCAATTAGGATTTAGGATGGTTCTTTTTATTGGGCAGGATCTCTATCAGGTCTGCTAGTATACATTACAAGTAGTTATCTCTTATTTCATTCATAGATGGTGGCTACAATTCGGGGTATGGACAAGGTGGTTGGGGCAACCAAAGTCCATGGGAATCCAATAATCAAGGCAGCTGGGGAAACCAAGGCTACGGGGACCAGGGTGGTTGGGGCCAGCAGTCAGGCAATTTTGGTGGAGGCTACCAACAAGGCTTCAGCGGGGGACCCATGCGTGGTAACTACAATGCTTCGAGGTCGCAACCTTACAATGCAGGTTAGAATACATTCGTATTCAACAATTCAGCAACAAAGTTGCTTAAAATTTCTGTTTCAATCATGATTTACAATAAATCCTTACAGACGTTTAGAAGTTAACTTTATTCAAAATAAATTTTTCGGGTGAATTATTTTGCTTTTGGTTCCAGAATGCATATCTGCCCCCCTCCTAGCATGAACACCGCGATATATGTAGCTCATTTTTATCATGCTAAATTGTCAAATTGCTATGTAGTTTGACAGTTAGATGCGATTATAAACGTGATATAAAGTAAATTGTGGTGCTCATGCTATGGGGGCTGATTAACTTTTAGTGATAATACATTAATTATTTAATTTTGGTATTCTTTAATAACCATTGAAGACATACCAAGGATTGTAGCACTTATAAGTATATCATCAGCAGCGAAATTAGGTCACCACCCAGCTCTCCACTGCTAATAATAGAATAATGTCTTGGAGCTAAAGTAACAAAAGAAAAATAAGCAAGAACTTACCATAACTCACCACACAGGCCAATACGATTGGTGATGATTATGTCAGCTAATTAAGCTGGCATGATAATACATTCTTGGGCACCCATCTGATGAGCAGCCTTTGTAAAGTTGCTTAACTTACCATACCATACATCTCCGGCAATTTAAATTTAGAACTTATAATTATGTATTTAATAGGAATTTTCAATAATAAACAGGTGGAGGCGGTGGAGGTTATTCCACAAGTGGATTTAATAGCAACGCCGGTGGCACCAATCAGCGTGGCAGGTTTTAACTCTTCACAATGTCCTTTTGTGAGTATAACTTTTATTGTTTATTTAATATGATATGGTAATCTAGGAATATAATTCCAAATAAGAATTTTCAGTCTTTAGGAAAACCAAGCAGTAGTACTTTCTTGATATCGTGAATATATGCAAATAATTAAGCAACATACTTATGGCTAGCATGGGAGTTATCACTTGTGTTGTTGTGTCCCTTTATATTTCCATATAACTGAGCAGTTTTATCAAGTGTCATGCTCTAAAGAGATAAAGGTAAAATTGGGCTAACACTATGTCTCTTGCTTTGATCGTAGAAATGATGAGAAAGTAGACGTAATTGTTATTAAATAAATTAATAATGTAATTAAACGCGTCTTGCTTAAATTACCACATACATTAGTGTATGTAATATTAAAGTTATAACATTAATATTACTGTATGCATGTACTATGTTAACATTTCATTGTCAAAGGGGCCATAACTGCAATTAACATCACGACCATATATGCATTGCATTAACGTCCGTACATTAAAGTAATCGTGCTTTGTTACCAATTACTCCTAATATAAATGAAAACACGCAAAATGCTTTTTAAAAAAGTAATAAAAATCGCATTTGGTACCCGTTTCAATTAAATTAATTAATATTTTTCATTTAATTAGTGGTGTGGGTGAAAACTTAAGAAACAATAATATACACCTAATCTCTTCCTTCCATAGTTATATTTCAATAGAAGCAGCTGATCTGTTTTGGTCTACATGATATATTATTATCAGGACGCTATCATTTTTGGGAGTTGGCATATAATATATTATTACAGCTTATGCAAAAGATAGTGAAATCTATGCGCGACTTTGGTATACTTTCTCCAGTCACATTTAAATAGAAATCAGTTGAACTACATCAAGATGACAATTACATATTAATAACTTTTGCGTATATACGTATAGTAGTTGCAATATGAAAGCTAATAACGAGGCCCCAAGCACGAATTTTGACAGCTCCGTAGTCGTAACGTTATCGTTAAATTTTGTATAGAATGAGCCAGTTTGTTATTACGTTCGGTAGGGGGGCATTGCTTAAGCCAGAAATATATTACAGTGTCGTGGCGTGACGTGGCGCATCGGTTTCATACATTTATCATGGGTTAGAGAGAGATAGAGAGGTTAGAGCGTCGACAGGACACGACACGTAAATATGTCTCTAACCATAGTAAATGTATGAACCCGATGTGCTTCTGGCGCGTCACGACACGACACGTTAATATGTTTCTGGCTTTAGTTTTGATAGAAACTTTGACGATTACGGAGCCGTAAAAATTTGTGCTTGCGCCTCTGTTCATTATGTACTTGTTCCATTTTTAGTACATTTACCAAATAACTGAATAAAAAATCTCCCGTACTGATCCTCTGCATTCACCAAACGTTACAAAGTCGATAAATCGTTTGTCTATTAAAAACATTTAACTGGTGAAGCGATACCGACAGTTTTCAATGAACATTTACATATTGTGTGTTTACAAAGTTATTTTTTAATGTGTAGGTCCCAAGTTGCGCTTAGTTGAAGCTAGGCAGGCAGAAGGTAGTTAGAAGGGAGGTAGGCGCTCGGCTAGCTAGTGAGGGACAACTGGACTTAGAGAAGCGGCATTAGCCATCATATAACCCTTATTTACACTACAGTCAGGTTGGTCGACTAAGGTACTGTAGGCTATAGATTCATATCTCTTATGGTTTTAGTAAGTTAGCACACGAATCACAGTTTTTACATTTGATACGTCACGATTTTACGCACGGCTCTGTTGTAGCACTTTAATTCAGTGTTTTAACCACAGTTGACACGTTAAATTGGAATTATATTATTATCAGGTTTCAGAGTTCTTTGTAAAAGCTGTTGATTACAGGCGATGTTTACGTTACTAGTCTTTAAGGAAAAGATAATTATAGTTTATTATACTAATTAAGATTTTAAATTTCAAATTTTATCTTATAAATAATTATTGTGCAAATGATAGCTGTAACATTCCAAAACTTTTGAGAAGATTGGCCTGAATTTTATTTAATGAAAATAATACGCTAAGCAATATGAACACCAATATAGCTATCAAAATATATATTAAAATGAAGTTTAAAGTATATGAATGTTAGTTAAGTGTAGCCATAACTTAAAATGTTTTTGTTGTAACAATGATAATTTGTTTGTAAAGACCCATTTGAAATGGGGTCACTATTATTTTTTGCATAATTATATTTCATTTAAATACTTAGAATTCAGTACATAAAAATATGTATGTCACTTGATAATTTTCAATATTATGGGGTGTTAAATAAAATGTTTTATTTTTATGCGTTAGTTCTAGTTGGTCAAGGTCTAATTTGTAAGGTGTGAAGATAAAGATATTTTCTGTTTATTTACATGTATTCTGTGTGTGCTTATAATTAAATAACAACTATTTTCCATGGACTGTTCTATATGTGGACGAGACGACGCGGTGGAAAAGGCCGTGGTAAGTTGACTGTGTCCAAATAAAAGCTATATACTAAACATTTGTGTTTTATTATGCATTTATAATAGCAAACTTCCTTATACATCGGTAATATTATACATCATTATAATTTTAATAAGTACATCATTATCTTACCTCAATTGTATAAGCATCCACAAATCTAGTTAACTTTATTATGTGGCTTCTTTTAAAAAAATCACTATCTATCGAAAGAAACTAAGACAGTTTGTGTTAACATGTTGTTGGCTGTCTATACATGAATTGTCTAACTACTTCTACTTTTGTAATTGAGGGTATACAACTATAATAAATAATACAAGTGGTCGAAAAATGTTTTACAAATTTTACAACATATGAAAAATGCAAGTTAATTATTAACTTATTATAATCAACCAGAATCAAGTATATTAATATGATATAATACTATGATGATAGAAAAAGAAACAACTTCGGCTATCCTCATCTTGCTAGCTTGAAAATCATTCCCTATATCTCGTAAAAGTGGAGCCGAGTACCTACTGAAACCTTATTCATCAACAGAAACACCATGAAAAAGATAAGTGTCAAATATTAAGGTTCCACAGTACACAGATGGGTTCCCCATTCGTAAAATCGGTTATGCCTGTGCTTGTCTTAATTTAAAAGTATTTTTTTACAATTTTTATTTTTATATACATAATTACAATTTAATTTAAATATAAAAGTAGGTATATCGAACAAAGCTAATTTTCAGGTATCCCAATTTTGCACCACGAGGAAATCGAGACTTCCGCGGCATGCCTTATCAGCATCAGCCTATCAATATTTGCGAACCACAAACAAAATCGTTTTAAATAATCCACGTATTGCCCTGCGCAGACGAGGGACTTTTGTCGACAAAAGTCTGAATCGTGAAAAAAATGTCCTCGAGGACTTGTCACGGACTCCGCTCCGCGCAAACGATGTGCGAACATTTGCTGCCTGAAAATTTTAGAGAAGCGCACGCTATGGTAATAAATATTCTCAGATTACGTTGTATTGTAATTAAGGTATGTACTACCGTGCGACCAGGCCCACAGTTTTGCAAGGCCCAAGCGCAGAAACCCATTTAAATTGCATTTGATTCGCGCCAGCTTCATAGCGTGTATGAAACAGACCAATAGGAACGCATCGCGACCCCATCATCTTGACTATGACACGCTTTTTTCAGTTATATATAAGGTAAGTGATACAAATAAGGCCTACCTAATTTCAAACACTCATATCATGATAAATTATTCGAAGAAGGTGATAAATAAAAGCGAGGCATTATTCCTTGGTTCATAAATTTTAAGTAATTTAGAAAACATATTACAATCTATTATCAGAAATCACTTAAAAAGAGCTAATTCTGGAACCTTAGCCTTAGGCCTTTTAAAAGTGACTTAACAAAGCCTATGTACCTAAATTATTAGGAATAATGATTATTGTTATTAGAGTATAAATTATATTAAAATATGTATTTCTGCCGCAGCCTTTAATCAAGTGTTTCCGTGGGATCCTTGAACAACATTCTAATTTATTTTACTAAATATTTTGCTTAAATTGCTAGTCAGATTTGAAGTCGCATATTAACAAGACACGGACCTGAAAAAAAGACGGACGTAATATCAAAGGCAAATCATGTGAAGCATGACAATGACATGTAGGTCAGACAAAATCGTGTGTTGTACACTACCTACACTCACACTAATGCACCAGGTCGGACAATCCGCTGCCATTTGAACTCGCGTGACAGCGCCAGTCACACGTTCAATTGCTCCGATATATTTTTAAAAAAATGCCGTCTTGTGTGGTAAAATCTTTTAAAAACTACACGAGTAAATTTGAAAAGTCACAAGGAATCACCTACTATGCTTAAGTATTGACGATTCTTGATATTTTTTTTATATTATATTTTATTTACAAGGATAAAAATTGTAAACAAAAATACAACTGTGTGGCTACTTTATTTACGGGAAATTTTCCCTAAAAGTAGGGAAATTTGTATTTCTTGCATTTGTGACTAGGCAAGATAAGATTTCGTAAATTTTTAGGGTTCCGTATCCCAAAAGGAAAAGAAAAGAAGCCATATTATTCATAGAATATTTTATATAAATTATAGTCTTGTCTTCTTTCTAATAGGTTTCCTAGAAATAGAAACCGTAGAGATGACTGGGTTTGAATTATTCGATACTGCAAAGGGGATAACAATTAGGGACCCATCACCTTCCAGTACTGTGTGCAGTGCACACGTTGTTTGGTTTTCGTTCAAACCTGAGCCTGTAAAGAAGAAATATTAAAAACTAGCGGTCCGCCCTCGCTTCGCTTCGGTGTAGAGCTGAATTGTTGTATTATACACAATGACATTCATCTATGATTTTTCTTATACCTGCATGCAAAGTCTCAGCCCGATCGGTTTAAAATTGACAAAGTTCCATACAAACTTTCATTCCCTATTTTATCCCCTTGGGGGTAGAATTGATAAAATCCTTTCTTAGCGGATGCCTACGTCATAACATCTACCTGCATGCCAAATTTCAGCCCGATCTGTCCAGTGGTTTGGGCTGTGCGTTGATAGATCACTATGTCAGTCAGTCAGTCACCTTTGAGTTTTATATATATAGATACAGTTGAAACCTGTTAACAGAACTACTATACAAATAAACTTTTGAAACCAAATTACGATAACCAAAATTATTACAAAACTAGAGGTCGCCCGCGACTTCGTCTGCGTTAACTTAGTTTCTTGAAAATCCCTCTGGAACCTAACATTTTTTCGGGATAAAAGTAGCCTATGTGTTAATCTAGGGTATCAGCTAACTCCATACCAAATTTTATTAAAATCGCTCCAGCCGTTTAGACGTGAAGAAGTAACAAACATACACACTCACATACTTTCGCATTTATAATATTAGTGTGATGAATTACAGGCAGGACTTGAACCTGCATTTTCTGCTGTCTGGGTGGATGCACTAATTGCTATGCTACCGAGAACTTAATGATCATGACGAATTTCTTCTTGTATTTCTTAGGCTGCACGGTAGTGCCATTTCTTCGCATTGTAGGTAAACCACGATGTCAAATGAAACCATAGATATAGGATGTAAAGATAGACAGAGTACCTATCGCTACTGTTCCAAAAAAATATCTATAAAAGTGTCGAGTTAGTTTCACAGAATTTCATAATAAATTTTATCTCAGTACGACTTGACAGGGCGCTGCGGCTCTTGCTAAAAATATATTATTAGACGAAAGGTACATCATGTTGCGTCTCTTTCTACGTTATAGGATTGGCATGATATTTCTTTTCCTCACTCTGTCAGTCTTTAAATACCTACTCAATCTATGAATGAAATACTTACATTTGAAAGAAGAAATAGCAATATTAGTCTATTATATTTTTATTTTAAGCATTAATCTGCGCGATTTATGTATATTAATGTATGTTATTAACCTCATACATAATATTAAGACACTAACATTTATATGTAAACAATAAAGTTTCTTTTTACATAACAAGTTACATAATCTATCTCGGTGTTCCTAAAAATAATTTGATAGACCGTTTAAATTGCTGAAAAATCAGGAGCTCACAACGAGTAAAACACGTGGTAAATATCCCGTTTTTATAATATATATTTGATTACATAATGTTAACAATGTTTTAGTTTGGGAGATTTAAAAAGTAGGGAAATTGATGATTTACCCGACAACCCTGAAATCACGCACACACTGTAAGCGGGCGGCCATTTGCATGCTTCACTCGAGATAAGACGAGGTTACGTCCGTCTTTTTTTCAGGTCCGTGTAACAAGAGATAAAGAATAATATAAAAAAACAGATCCATACAAACAAAAATCAGCAAATTAACATATCTTCTCGTACATATTATTAAATATTTTCCAATATGCAATATAATGAATATATTTTGATAGAACTAAAAAATATTAAGTGGGATGAGATAATAAAAGAGAGCCATAACGTGAGTCAAAATTACTATTCTTTTCATACAACGTTAAAAAGTATATTAGATAGAGTTATACCTAGGAAACAAATAAAAATAAAAGGAAGATCCTTTAAAGGCTGGCTTACCAGTGGAATAAAACGTTCGTGTAGAAATAAGCGTCATTTAAAATTACTTTTATCACAAACTGCTAACCCCATACTTCAATCTCACTATAAAATTTATGAAAAAATATTAAAAAAAGTAGTCATGACTTCTAAAAAACTACAATATGTAAGCCGAATGAAAAACACTACAAATAAAACGAAAACAATGTGGACGATCATAAAGGAAAGAACAAACAAGCAGCCTAATAGACATCTACAAAATATCAAACTTAAAATTAATAATACTATCTGTGACGATGCACTCAAAATAGCAAAAAAAATGGGTGCGTGTACTTATGTAGGCGCGTGAGAAGTTATCCTTCTTTGGCATCGTTTAAAATTAGTTTTTAATTGCATGCAAATAATTAATTACAATAAATTAATAAAAAGTCTGGAAAAGGACACAGTCAATAAAGTTCAGTTTTAATTTGAAAAAATAAATAAATAATCAAAATATTCAATTAAAATCGCTACTGAATATAATTTATTAGAACATATGTGATTTGCACTTGTATGAAACTGAAACACGTATTCCGAATATACAAACTAGAAACATGTGGATAAATATTATAAATATGAATACCTGTAACTGTTACTTTATTACAATAATAACATAAAAGTAACATTGAAAAATAAAGATGTGGTTTTTGGTTCTACTACACCAATGGTCAAGAGATGGCGCTGTAGTCTCCTGAATCGCGCTTTGGTTCCGTTGTTCCAGATTAATAAATACTTTTGATAGGCCTTCACAATGCAGATTCTATTTCTATTTTGTTGGTAGATTTTCTTAATGTGCGGTAAACACAAAAGTAACAGTATGAAGTTGGTCGCCAACTTCATGCTGTTAATTTTTTGTGTTACAGTGATGCGCGCGCATCTTAAAATTTCACTCTCATCATTTTTTCATAACGCGCCTAAAGAAGTATAA